GCCACCACACACGGCTCCGGCCACCCGGTTTTCCTTGAAATACCCTACCTAACTTAGGCATCGGAGGGCCTTTGGCCAACACCCCCCGGGTGTGGTCCTTTTACTCCGATCTGTTTTGCAGGGGGAAAGAGAAGCGGAGAAGACGAATGAATCTTTGATGAATATTCTCGTAGGGAAAATCATTCCCTCCAAATTGGTGCTTTCATTGAGAGCACGAGTTATACTCAACGCATGCTCAAGGAATCCGTTCCTCCTACTTTCCAATCCACCGAGGCCTTCCAAACAACCATGGTTGGAAGCATGAAGACGAGGGGCAAAACCGCCGCGATGGCTAAATCCGCGACGGCCGAAAACCTTTCACCACTGCACCAGCCACCTCATGGTGGAACCTCTCATCAAGGCGGGCTTGTTACCACCGCCGACTTAAGCCCAGTCTTGCAGCAACTTCAAGCGTTCCCTCCATTGCCTCCACGCTCGACACACGCTCCTGTGCACACCTCCAATGAAACCCTAGCCCGTATGCAATTGGACTCCACACACTTCTCTACTCCCGATCCACGAAGTCAAGCAGACCTTAGTCTGAGAGTTGACCAGCTAGCTCAGAGAATGGACAACCAAAGCGATCTGATGAGGCAACTCCTCCAACAAATCAGCTTGGCTCAAGACCTTGACCTTGGACAGCTGGGCAAAGAGAGAAGGATGGACGAATGCACCGGCAGGCAGCTCAATGGGTACCCAGCAGGTCAAGCAGGAGTGGGCAGACAAGGCGAGGGGCATGCGTACATGTCAGAAGCATCTGCGAGCCCCACTCGGAGCAGATTGAGTTTGAGGAACAACATGTGCGAGATGCTAGGCCCACGACTTGACATCCACGCCCGCTTGAGCCCGCAGGGAAATGTACTTCAAAGGCTAGGCCTCCAGGGAGGACAACCAGACAACCATCACAACGAGGATCGTGAAGAAAGACGCTCAGCTGTCCACTCGCAGAGGAGCATTCACGAGAGGCTAGGTCCCCAGTGTGGTCAACTGGATAATCCTCACAATGAGGACTACGAGGAAGGTTGCTCCGCTGCTCACTCTCGAAGAGACAGTTCTCATCGACAAGCTACGAAGAATCTCTCGCAAGCGCAGTCCACCAACACGCGCCTAGGCAGCGCAGACGAGAAGGTCGACCCTCGCAGACCCAAGAGGAGGTCAGTCAACGTCGCCCGAATCGCGAAGGTCGCCAACATGATCGACCAACAATGTGTATGGAAGACGTTGAGAAGCTTATGAATGACCGACTTCGAGATCTGAAGACTTATGGGAACCTCGACGATGCACTATGCAAGGAGATCGACCAGGCAAACTCCACACCTTTCACTGCCGAAATCGAGCAGGCTGCTCCCCCGAAGCGATTCTCCATGCCTTCGTTTACACACTTCAAAGGGGACTCCGATCCCGAGAGCCACCTAAAACACTTCAAAAGTGTCATGATCCTCCACAAGTTCGACGACGCGTTGATGTGCAAGGTATTCGTAGTGACCTTGCGAGGAGCAGCCCAAGATTGGTTCCACACCCTTTCATCCGGGTCGATCAACAGCTTCAAGGAGTTGGCTTACGTCTTCACCAAAGAGTACACCTCTTACTGAACAATCAAGAAAAATCCTGACCACCTGTACAACCTGCGCAAGAAGTCTGACGAATTCCTTCGAGATTACATCAAGAGATTCAAAGCAGAAAAGGCCAACATTGTAGGATGCGACGACCGAATCGCGTCATCTGCTTTCAAGAAAGGCCTTCTAGCTGAACACGACTTGTACTGCGAGCTGACTATCACTCCCAGCCAGACTCTGGCAGAGGTCCACACGACCGCGGAACACTACACGCTCTGGGATGATGATCGAATGGCCGCAAAAGAGTCTACTAAGCAGGAAGATCAACCGACTAAGCAGGCAGGTCAAAGAAGCGATGGATTTAGCAACAAGAACAAGGATAAGCGCATGTCATACCCACAAGGAGACGCTGCAGCAGGAGAGAACTACACCAAGTTCACCATCCCCATACATCAAATCTTAGCCCAAGTGAAAAACAAACCTTGGGTAAGAAGACCGCCACCCTTGAAAGGAGATCCAGACAAGAGGGATACTAGCAAATACTGTGCCTTCCATGGGACATACGGGCACACTACCAACAACTGTCTCGCTTGGAAAGCACACCTTGAAGAACTCGTGAGAGAAGGTCACTATACGGAGTTCATCGCGAAGCAGGCCATCTAACGGATTGAAGATCGAGGCACTGCCAAGGAACTGCTCCAGAAGGTCATAAGGATTAACACAATCCTAGCCGATGCCAAGGAGTCAAGACTGACCAGCAAGGAAAAGAAGAGAAAGATCAAACAGGCTACTATGATCTCCCAAGTCTCGACTGACCTTCCACCAGCAGAAGACGATCCTGTAATCGGCTTCCAAAAGAAAGATCTGATCGGCCTCAACATGCCACATAACGATGCCCTTGTCATCAGCATACAAATCGCTCAAGCCATGGTCGACTAAATCCATGCAGACGAGGGCAGCGCAGGCAATATCCTACAGCTGGCTGTCATCCAGCAGATGGGCTTGGAGGCAAAGATCAACAAATCAGCCAGATCGCTGATCGGTTTCAATGGTGCAACAACGGTTACCATGGGCACGATAGACCTCGACATCTACTCCCCACTTGTAGTCTGCTTGCAAATGTTCATGATCATCAATGAGGTCTCACCCTACAACGGCATTCTGGGCAGGCCATGGATCGGCAAGATCAACGCCATCACCTCTGCCACACATCAGAAAATTCGGTACCCAATCCCTAGGGTCGGTGTTGGACAAATCAACAGTGATCAGGTAATGGCGAGGAAATGCTCCGCCCAAGGGCTAAAGAAAAGCAAACAAGCGTAATTCCTCCCTATGAGCTAGGCAGATCTAAAGGAAGTTGAACAACCGAATCTTGCTATCTTATAACAATTAAAGCGTCAGGCCCAAGCCGAGGAAATCCGTCCAGAGGTCTTTCCTGAAGAAGGATGGAAACCTGAGGAAGATGTCGAGTTAATACCCTTGGATCCTGATCAGCCAGACAAAAAAGCGCGGATCGGATCGTGCCTAAGCCCAGACGAGAAGATGGAGCTTACCACCTTCCTCCAGAATAACAAAGATATGTTCGCGTGGTCGCCGTCAGACATGCCTGGCATCGACCCAAAGTTCATCTGCCACCGTCCATGTCAACCCTACTGCAAGCCAATGGCGCAAAAGAGACGCAACTTCGCACCCGAGCGAGTCGCTATCATCGAAGCCGAGATTGACAAACTCCTAGCTGTCGGCTTTATTGAAGAGGTCTCCTACTCAGAGTGGCTTGCCAACGTGGTTCTAGCAAAACAAGAGAAGGGCAAGTAGAGAGTCTGCGTCGATTACACTGATCTCAACAAAGCATGCCCAAAAGACAACTTCCCATTGCCGAGAATCGACCAACTCGTGGATTCCACTTCTGGCAATCAGCTGCTCAGCTTCATGGATGCTTACTCCGGCTATAACCAAATCTTGATGCACACGGATGATAAGGCAAAAACTTCTTTCATCATCGAGAGAGGGACCTACTGCTACAAGGTCATGCCCTTTGGGCTGAAAAACGCCGGAGCAACCTACCAAAGGTTGGTGAATAAAATCTTCAAGGAGCAAATCGGCAAAACTATGGAGGTATACGTGGACGACATGCTGGTCAAGGCCCCAAAACGTGCAGATCACCTTAAAAACCTCGCCGAGGCATTCAGCCTGCTCTGCCAGTATCGCATGAAGTTGAACCTAAGTAAATGCACGTTTGGTGTATCCTTCGGTCGATTCTTGGGATACTTAGTCACACAACAAGGTATCGAGGCACACCCACGTCAGATTAAAGCTATTCTCGAGATGAAGTCGCCCTCCACAGTGAAGGAAATACAAAGTCTGACGGGCAGAGCAGCGGCCCTCAACCGATTCCTCTCGAGATTAACCGACAAGTGCAAACCATTCTTCAAAGCTTTGAAGAAAGGACAAAGAGACAAATGGGATGAGGAGTGCGAAGTAACTTTCCAGAGTTTGAAGACTTATCTCACTTCACCTCCCCTGCTTTCAAAGCCAGTCCCTGGTGAAGACTTGTTCGTGTACCTGGCAGTGTCCAACTCAGCTGTCAGCTCAGCTCTCATTCGAGAAGAGCTGGGGGCCCAACATCCGGTATTCTACACGTCAAAAGCTCTCCTCGATGCAGAGACTCGTTACCCAAAATTGGAGAAACCCATTTTGGCTCTTGTAGTTTCCGTGAGAAAGCTACGACCCTACTACCAAGCTCATCGAGTCATCGTCATGACCGACTTTCCTTTGAGATCAATCCTTCATAGCCCTGATGCTTCTCAGCGACTCATGAAGTGGGCTATAAAACTAAGCCAATATGACCTCCTCTACCGGCCAAAAGTTGCAATAAAAGCCCAGGCTTTAGCTGACTTCATAGCGGGGTTTACCCTATCGGCCGAAGAAGAGAAAATGGTCAACGAAAAGAAGGAAAGTTCAAAAGCAGACGGGACCTTCGCTGAACCTAGCCAACCTAGAGACATGTGACAGTTGCGAGTAGACGGAGCGTCAAACCAAAAAGGAGCTAGAGCGGGTGTCGACATCATTACCTCGGATGGAACCTTGTTGGAGCAAGCTATCACGCTTGGCTTCCAGACCTCGAACAATGAGGCAGAATACGAGGCACTACTCACCGGCCTGCGCTTGGCGAAGGAACTCACAATCAAGAAGCTAGCCATCTATTCAGAATCTCAGCTAATCACGAATCAAGCGTCAGGTGAATACATGGGGAAACACCCAAGGATGATCTTGTACCTTGACAAAGTTCAGGAGCTGTTGAAGGTGTTTCCTACCTTCACCATCCAACAAGTACCCTGGGCAGAGAACGCACATGCAGATGCACTAGCCAGTCTAGGGTCAGCGTTGGATACCCAGTTTAGATGCTCCATCCCGGTTGAACACCTTGACCGACCAAGCATTGAAGAAATAAAGCCAATCGACACAATGCAAATTGACGAGGACCCCAGCTGGCAAGACCCCATCACTTACTACTTAGTGAATGGAAACCTGCTACCGGACAAGTCCGAAACTATGAAGGTCCAGCAGAAGGCCACTAGATACTATATGCACGGTAGCAAGCTCATCCGCAGATCATACTTCGGCCCTCATCTCATCTGCATAAGGTACCCTCAAATACTTGAGGTCCTCTGCAAAATTCACGACGGCGAGTGTGGCAACCACTATAGGGGCAGATTGCTCGCCTGGAAGGCTCTAAACACAGGATACTTCTGGCCTACCATGCGCCACGACTCCACTAAATATGTCAAGAAATGTGATCACTGCTAGCGATACAAGCTGATCCTTAACCTGCCTACCGAAGTCTACCATTCATGCAATGGGTCATTGACTTAGTAGGACTCTTGCCACCCGTGCCCGCCAAGAATGACATGATGATCATCGTCATCGACTACTATACTAAATGAATCGAGGCCGAAGCTTTATCCTCTATTAAAGAAGCCGATGTGGAGCGATTCATCTGGAGAAACATCATCTGCAGGTTTGGTTGCTCACAATCGCTGGTTACCGACAACTGCTCACAGTTCATTGGCAGACAGATCACCGCAAAATAGTCGCCCATAAGCAGCGTCCTAAGGGAGACGCAGGGCGACGACCAAAGCGTCCTTCGGGAGACGCAGCCCGTAAAAAGCGTCCTAAGGGAGACGCAGGGTGCTCCAGGAATTTCTTAAAAGGAGGTCTCCATGCCTTCTGCGGGAAGTATCCAGGTTCCTATCCATTTCCTAAGGGAGGCAGGATAGACACGCAGTTGCCCATAAGTAGCGTCCTAAGGGAGATGCAGGGCGACAACCAAAGCGTCATTCGGGAGACGCAGCCCGTAAAAAGTGTCCTGAGGGAGACGCAGGGTGCTCCAGGAATTTCTTAAAAGGAGGTCTTCATGACTTCTGCGGGGAATATCCAGGTTTCTATCCCTTTTCTAAGGGAGGCAGGATAGACATACAGTTGCCCATAAGCAGCGTCCTTCGGGAGACGTAGGGCGATGACCAAGGCATCCTAAGGGATGTGCAGAATACGCCCAGAGCCTCTTAAGGGGGGCCCTGACACTCGCCAACTTCCTAAGGGAAACCATCCTAAGGGATGTGCAGAACACGCCTGGAGCCTCTTAAGGGGGGCTCTAGCACTCGTCAACTTCCTAAGGGAAACTATCCTAAGGGATGTGTAGGACACGCCCGGAGCCTTTTAAGGGGGGCCCTAGCACTCGCCAACTTTCTAAGGGAACCATCCTAAGGGATGTGCAGGACACGCCTGGAATCCCTCAAGGGGGACCTTGACACTCGCTAACCTCCTAAGGGAAAAACATCCTACGGGATGTGCAGAATACGCTCGGAATCCCCCAAGGGGAACCCTGTCACTCATGAATATCCGAAGAAGATGTGCAATCAAGACACAGGCTGGTTACTCAAGTAGTTCACAAATCAATACGCAAATTAAAGTGAAAAAAAAAACTGAAATTTCCATAACAAGCTGACCAATCGGCCAAAGTTCAACAAAGAGAAGATGGTCAAATAAGACCAATTATTCTAAACAAGAAAGCAAACTACAAAAGCTGAAAAGAAACAAAGAAGTCTTCATATACTCCGAGGGGCCAACAGGAGACCTTTGAGTTGCAGCCTCTTCGGCATCCACTTGATCAGCTATGCCTTCAGCAGCCTTACTTGCCTAATCCGCGATGTTTATCACTACCTCATCTGCTGCATCCTCATCTACTTCGTCCTCTTCAGCTACCTCTTCGACTGCCTGCTCTTCAGCTTCCTCCATGTTCACAACATTAACCTGCTCACTCTGCATAGGGAGCAAGTCATAACAGAGCATCTCGATGTCTCCATCTCCAATGGCATAGAATGAACCATTTCCAGTTGAGCAGTCCAAGTAGCCCAACTTGTACGCATTTGTGGTAGCTTCAAGCTTGGACTTTTCAGCAGACTTAGGACATGCGCCAACCAGAAGCTTGTCATAACTAAAGGAGACGTCAGCATTCTTGCGCTCAAGACAGAAGTAGACATCGTTTCGTCTAATTAAGTCAGCAGCAGAAGAGGGGGTAACCGCAGATGAGTTTCGGATAGTTTCAGCAACAAAAACTACTCATTTTTTAAGCAGATGAAATGTTGCTTCACTTTGTTTTTCCAAGGAAAGACTCGAGAAGGAGCCGAGATCGCCAGCCTGACAGATGTGATCGACCAACTCAGCACAAGAGGGCGGGTTTGATAGAAAGTTCGTCTTGAGCAGGTCAGACACACATGCATCCCCTGCAGGGTTGGACTTGTTCACCTTGGGATCAACTGCCGACACTGAAGATCCCTTCGCCCAGGCAGATGACTCTCTAGTCTTCTTAGCCTCCGCCAACCTCATCTCCAAATGAGTCAATGATACTGAATCAACTCCACGCTTGACTGCCCGTGACTCAACAGTTGGATTGTGAGTAGACTCCCACTTCGATCTCCATCTTTTGACCGATGCAGACGATTCAAACTTCGAGGAGGAATGTCTACATCTCCTTGACGCTCGGCAGAACTAGGCCGGGTACGAGCTGCCTCACGAAGCATATCATGGTTTTCAAACTTGTCAGCAGGAGGCTTGGGTAGAACACCTCGAACACTGCGCATACCACCAACCTTCTTGCCATCTGCACCAAAGAGATGTCTGACCCTGGCAGATGACGATGGAACAAGTCTTACTTGAGTCTTCTCAGCAGAAGGGATCCTTGGCTTCTTCCTCTACGGGGATGCATCCTTCGCCAACGAAGTCGCAGCTTTATTTCTTGAAGACTTGACATCAGCCTTCCTTTTTGAAGGGGAGTCCAGCAAATCCCCTAACAGACCTTCGCCGCAAAAAAGAAGAAAAGACGAATAAAAAGAAAATACATGCTCGACTTACCTTGGGATGCACGGCGACTCCTCTCTTCGACAAGCAGTACAAATTCTCCAAGATCTCTCTCAAGCTAGAAAGTAGAGAAGTTAAGTTTGCGATGTGAAAGAGAGTGAAGAGAAGCCCTGCATTTACAGAAGTTGGGCATCCCAGGTTAAGAAGGAATCGCAAGCCCATTCCTATTGGGAACCCAACTCCAAGAACAGTCAAAAGCTCACGCCAATTGGGAACCCAATTTGCAAAAAGAGTCCAATTCTTGTCTCCCTATATGTAGATTGTGGGAACCGAATTAAATCACCCTTCCATTTGGGGATTATTTGACCTAATTGGGAATTAATCAACCTAATTGGGAGTTACTCAATTTAATTGGGGATTACCCAATTAAATTGAAGATTACCTAATTGGGTTGAGAATTGATTTGATTCCTACCCCGATTCCCAATTGAATGAGGAGTTACCTAATTAAAATGGGATTTGATTTGATACCTACCACAATTAGGGATTTGATTTACCCTAATAAATCAAATCCCTAATTAATCAAATCAATTCCAAAAAGGGGAGGAATAATTCCCTTCCATCTACGGAATTATTCCTCTAAAACCCTAGCCTCCAAGACAACTATAAAAGGATGGCTACACATAAGGGTTGAGGTACGTCTAAATTCCTATTGAAACTCTGCAGAAATCATTTCTCACAAACCCTAGCCACCACTTTCTTTCTCTCCCTTACACAAGGCTCCGGCCACTCGGTTTTCCTTGAAATACCTTACCTAACTTAGGCATCGGAGGCCTTTTGGCCAACCCCCCCCGGGTGTGGTCCTTTTACTCCGATCTATTTTGCAGGGGGAAAGAGAAGCGGAGAAGACGAAGGAATCTTTGACGAATATTCTCGTGGGGAAAATCATTCCCTCCATAGATGATATTGTATATACTGGTAACAGTCCACAAATGCTTGAAGAATTTAGAAAAGACATGATGAAGCACTATGAGATGACATATTTGGGATTGTTACACCACTTTCTTGGAATGGGAATACTACAAGCCGAGAAGAGTATTTTTATACACCAAAAGAAGTATGGACAGAAGTTGATTGAGAAGTTCGGATTGAAAGATTTCAAAGCAGTGGCTACTCCACTTGCAATAAATGAGAGATTAAGCAAGATTGATGGAAGCTGCGAATGAAGGAGAATATAGACAAATTGTGGGAAGCTTGCTCTATTTGACTGCAACTAGACCTGATGCGATGTTTGCAGCAAGTCTCTTGGCAAGGTTCAAGCACAATCCTACCAAGAAACACCTGGGGACAACAAAGAGAGTGCTGAGATACATTCAAGGAACACTGAATTTTGGAATTGAATTTATAAAAGGGAAGATAACTACTCTAATCAGTTACTGTGATAGTGACTGGGCAGGAAGTGAAGATGATATGACAAGCACTTCAGGGTATGCATTTACTCTAGGATCTGGTGCGTTTTCATGGGCATCGATTAAGCAAAACACAGTAGCATTGTCCACTGCAGAAGTAGAATATGTCAGTGCTGCTGAAGTTACTTCCCAAGCAAAATGGCTGAGGTTCGTACTTGAGGACTTTGGAGAAGAACAAGTTGAAGGAACTCAAATCATGTGTGACAACACATCAGCCATAGCAATGGCAAAGAATCCATTTCTCCACTAGAAAACCAAACATATCAGTAGAAAGTTTCACTTCATTAGAGAAGTTATCCAAGCAAAGGAGATTGAACTTATCTACAGGAAAATAGAAGATTAGATTGTAGATATATTAACCGAGGCTCTGTCTAAGGATCGATTTGTGTATCTAAGAGAACTACTTGGTGTGAAATCAGCTAAAGGGTTAGAAGGGAGTGTTGATGTGTAACCCTTAAGCTAAAAACCTTGGAGCCAAAGTCACAAAGTCTGTTTTAATTTCATTTTATACGTTTTAATTTCTGTTTGTAATGTGAGCCATTGGATCATAGTCCAAGTGGACTCTCTTTCTAGCCTAAGACTTCAGTGCCAGCCAGTGACACATGTAAGCATCTCCTAGGATGATAGAAGCATTGGCTAGGATTCAATTTTGATGTAAATCCGTTAGAGAAGTATCTCACTTCTCTCTCTGTGCTAACGATATATTGGCTAGTGGAGTGGAATGAATAGTAATCTCCAGCTTTCTTTTCAGAGCAACGTTCTCTTCTTCATTCTTTCTCTGTGATTTCTTCCTTCCTCCCAAACATCCAAAATATTCAAAAACTATGAATTCTAACACCAGTGGCTTTCTTTAGTGAAAAATTGAATACAGCAAAGAAAGAGTATTCCACCTATGATCTGAAATTTTATTCCATTGTGCAAGCACTTCAATTTTGGCTATCTTACTTGATTCAAAAGGACTTCATATTGAATACAGACTATGAAGCTGTTAAGCATATCAATAACCAAGGGGGTAAAATCTCAGACATGCGAAGTGGATTGCTTTTATGCAAGAATACTACACATTTGTGCTAAAGCATAAAAGTGGACGGTGCAAACAAGTGGCAGATGCGTTTAGCAGACAGGTGACACTTCTCAATACTATGCAAATCCAACTTGAAGGATTTGACCACATCAAGAGTCTGTACGTCCAAGATGAAGATTTTAGTGAAATTTGGAGCCTATGCAAAGACGGTCCCCATGAAGATTACATTCTACAGAATGATTATCTTTTTAAAGGCACTTGCTTGTGTATTCCAAGACGTTCTTTGCGAGAGTATATTATTAAAGAGCTGCATTCTAGGGGTTTAGGTGGACATTTTGGGAAAGATAAGACAATTTCCCTGATGAAGGACAGGTATTTTTGGCCAGCAATATTTCAAAATGTCATCAAGTTTGTGAAGAGGTGTCATATATGCCAAACTAGCTAAGGGAAGAAACAAAATACTGGGTTATACATGCCATTACCCGCCCTAGCAACCCCTTGGCATGATATAAGCATGGACTTTGTAGTTGGTTTGCCAAGAACCCAGCGAGGTAATAATTCTATTTTTGTGGTTGTTGATCGTTTCTCCAAAATGGCTCATTTCATTCCATGCAAGAAAACAATGTATGCTTCCTATATAGCTGATATTTATTTCAAAGAGGTGGTGAAGCATCACGGTGTTCCAAAGTCTATTGTTTTGGATAGGGATACAAAATTTCTCAGCCATTTTTGGAGGTGTTAGTACGAAAATCGTATTGGCATTTCTTAGACTTTAGTATAGGTGTGAGGAATTGTTATTCGATGTTTTGGTACTACTCTTTCAACCCCATAACCGAGGCATGCCTCGACCATATTAGAAACTTGACAATAGGTAAATCATGACATATCATGTATTCATGATAGGACTTGTAGTTGAAGCTGTCTTAGAGTCTTTCTGACTCTGAATCTAAATCTTGGCATTTTGATAGTGGATGTTCGAGACACATGACCAGGGAAAATTCATATTTATCAGAAATCTCTACAGAATGCGTGACTGGAATGGTCACTTTTGGAGAAGGAAGAAAATCCAAGATTTTGGGCAAAGGAAAGATTATGGCAATTGGTACACCTAGCTTGGACAATGTTTTATTAGTTGAAAATCTACAAGCAAATCTCATCAGTGTAAGTCAACTTTGTGATGAAATAGGTGAGGTAAGTTTTACTAAAACCCAATGTATTGTCAATAATAAAGATGGATCAAATGTGATGATTGGAAACAGATCACTTCACAGTTGTTATTGTTTTTCCACTAATGAAGTTTCTCAAGTTTGTTTTAGGACGAGTAAAGATCATCTTGATTTATGCCATCAATGTTTGGGACACATGAACTATCAAGACTTAATTAAATTGTCCAATTGTGAATCTGTAAGAGGATTGCCCAATTTTTCAGGTAGACGTGAGGGTGTTTGTGAAGGGTGCCAACTGGGGAAGCAAACCAAAAACCCTCACAAAGCTACAAAGTCAATCTGTACTTCTAAAACTTTGGAACTGATGCATATGGATTTAGTTGGTCCAATTCAAGTTGCTAGCTTAGGAGGAAAGAAATATATTCTTGTCTTAGTAGATGATTTCTCATGTTTTACTTGGGTCATTTTTTTGCATGATAAGATAGAAGCCTTTAATTCCTTCTATGTTTGTACAAGCTAATCATGAATGAAAAATATGACACTAATTCTTCTATCATGAGACTTAGGACAGACCATGGAACGGAATTTGAAAATCAAGCTTTCTCTGATTTTTGTTCTGAAAAAGGAATAAAACATGAATTTTCTACTCCAATCACTCCCCAATAGAATGGGGTAGCTGAAAGGAAAAATAGAGTCCTTGACATGGCTCGTGTCTTGTTGAAAAGTGCCAAATTGGCGGACTATTTTTGGGCTGAAGCCATCAGTACTGCATGCTATACATCTAACTGTGTGTTTTTCAGGCCACATACCAAGGGCACTCCGTATGAAATCTAGAAAGGGAAGAAACCAAATGTCAAGCACTTAAGGACTTTTGGCACTTAAGGACCTGGTGCGAAACAAGTTCATAAAGATCACTCACCCTCATATGTTATTGGGAATGTTAATGATAAATTGAGAACTCGACAACAAGTTTGTAATGAGGTAACCAATTTATGTTATGTATCCTTTATTAAACCTAAGAGTGTGACAAATGCTCTTGCAGATAATGATTGGATTCGGGCTATGCAAGAGGAATTAAATCAATTCAAAAGAAATGATTCCACATCCCAAAGACTCAAATGTAATTGGTACCAAGTGGATCTTTCGAAATAAGATGGATGAGAAAGGGCAAATTATGCGCAACAAAGCTAGACTTGTTGCCCAAGGTTATACTCAAATTGAAGGTTTGCATTTTGATGAGACTTTTGCTCCAGTTGCGCGTTTAGAATCTGTTCGATTGTTGCTATCCATTGCATGCTATCTTCGGTTCAAGCTTTATCAAATGGATGTCAAGAGTGCGTTCCTAAATGGAGTTTTAAAGGAGGAAGTCTATGTGGAACAACCTGCAAGTTTTCAAGATCCTATCCATCCCAATCATGTATATCGTCTACAAAAGGCTCTCTATGGACTCAAACAAGCCCCGAGAGCATGGTATGATAGATTGTCCACACATCTTCTTCAAAAAGGGTACACATGTGGTAGCATTGATAAAATCCTCTTTGTCAAAAGAACCAAACAAGATTTAATGGTTGCTCAAGTATATATGGATGATATTGTTTTTGGATCTACTTCTGACATCCTTGTCAAAGAATTTCATGAGGTAATGCAAACTGAATTTGAGATGAGCATGTTTGGGGAACTAAATTTTTTTTCTTGGTTTGCAGGTCCAACAATTCAATGGAGGCATGTTCATTTCTCAAACAAAGTATGCCAAAAACCTGGTGTCCAAATTTGGTCTAGATTCTGCCAAGCCCATTCGAAATCCTATGAGCATAAGCACCAAACTTTCCAAGGATTTACATGGCAAAAGTGTAGACCAGAAACTATATAAAAGCATGATTGGCAGTTTGTTATATTTGATTGCCAGTAGACCAGACATCTCTTTTAGTGTTGGACTTTGTGCTCACTTCCAATCCGATCCCAAAGAATCACATCTACTTGCTGTGAAAAGAATTCTCCTCTATGTAAGTGGCACTACAAACTTTGGTGTATACTACTCATTTGACTCAAATGTTGAACTTGCAGGCTATTCCGATGCAAATTGGGCTGGGAGCATTGGTGATAGAAAAAGCACAACTGGCGGATGCTTTTACATAGGCAACAACCTTGTCTCCTAGTTTAGCAAGAAGCAAAATTGTGTCTCTCTCACCACGGCTGAGGCCGAGTACATAGTTGCTGGGAGCTGCTGCACACAGTTGTTAACTTGTTATGGATGAAACAAATGCCAAATGACTATGACATTCGGCAAGGTAAAATGGTAACGTTTTGTGATAACTTGAGTGCAATTAATATCTCTAAAAATCCAGTTCAACACTCTTGCACAAAACACATTGATATTCGTCACCATTTTATTTGTGAATTAGTGGAAGAGAATGTGCTCTTGCTTGAATTTGTCCCTACTGAAAAACAATTAGCAGATATTTTCACCAAACCTCTAGACAATCTACAATTTGAAACGCTTAGACAGTCATTAGGTATATGTGCTCTAGATTAATTCAGAGTCTGCTGCATGCCAAAGCCTATTCTTGATGTATGATATTTAAATTACTTTATGTTTTTATAAATTTGTCTAGCTCATGCAAGGATTGTTAGGTCGTATCAATCCTGTAGTTGTCTGAACGTATTTGCTGATCTTAGATTGGGCTCTGGTACTGCACTTCATTGAAGACACACACTCACAGCTTCCCACAAAGGTTTCCATTGGCTTGGTGCATTATAAACTTCATCAAATGATCTATCCATCTACGTATTTTTATTTGCACACCACACTCTTTTCCCTGAAGTCCCTTGAATATTTCTACTCGTGCACTTGTCTCTCTTTGGATTGCCACAACACTACTGTGCGTAAGTTCTTGATCTTGTTAAATAATTAAAAAAAAAAATTTTAAAAAAAAGGTGGTGACTTCTTATTGCTCAGTAACCGGGCCTCTTGTCTAACCAACGTCGAGGTTCGATTCAACAGGTTGTGATGGTCTGCTATCCTTGCTTATCTTTGGAGCCTTCATGATTCGGATTAGTATTTCCCTAGGGGTGCTTTATCACCCAGTTGCTTCCAGCCATCTGACGTGAGCACACTGATTGACCATCCGTTACATGGATCATGTCGAAAGCTAAATAAAGTAAGCCACCAAAATTCAAAAAAAAAATTACAATTCAAGTCTCAAATAAACTGATCTTCTTATACTTGCAATGCATTTAGTGTATGTGTCATCTTTGGTGGGATTAGTCTTGGGGGCAGCGGCAGATCTAGGAATTTTTCAGTGGAGGTGCAATTCTTAAAACTAAAAGTTAAAAAAAAAAAAAAAAGGACGCGAGAAGGAAAAAAAAACGCAGGACTCTTGTGATGCACACATACTTTGGTTGATGTTAAATTTGTTTTTTTATGAAGAGAATTCTCAATTCCACTCAGTTAAGGAATTTCCAAAACCCAATTGAATAAAGAGAAGTTCCAAATTAAACCCAATTAGGTAAGAATTATAAAATCCCTTTAGAAGCCCATGAATGGCTCATCAGTTTCCCCTTCTTTTTTTTTTTTTTTTTAAACTCTGGTCCAAAATGACGTCGTTTTTGCCAAGCTTTTTTTTATTTTAAAAAAGGTCTCCACGTGCAGTAAGAACAGTGGCAATGATGTAATCATCCACCTCAAAACCCTCTGTTCGCATTTCATACATGAGCTTCATAACCTCCTGGCAAAGACCATTCTTTGCATAACCCACTATCATAGCCTTCCAAGAAACCAAATTCCGTTCTGGCATGCTGCCAAAAACTTGAAATGCCTCTGTTACATACCCACAAAAAAATTAGACATGGCAGGACTTTTATTTGCTGAGGAGTGAATCAATTTCCTGTACAGAACGGTTTCCAGCTGGGCGCATGCTTTCGAAGCGGATGAGTAAGTAAATGCATTGGGCTCCACCCCATCCTCCATCATTTCATTCAAGAGCAGCGCGCAGCAGCACAGCAGCGCAATTCACTTGCGCATTTCATCGAACATCTTCTGTGCATGAGCAGAGGTGCAACTTCAATTGGTTTTATGGAGTTTTCCGGCGACCGGAGGTGCAGGTGCACCTCCTTGCGCCTACATAGGTCCGCCACTGCTTTGGGGGACATATTCTTTGTGCTTAATTGAAAGGGGTTCACTTCACAATTTTGCTTCTTGATGGTAGACTCATTTGGTGATGTTTATTTTTCACCATGCAAGTGGTATGCCTCCTTGATTATCTGTGAATTTGTGCATTTCATGTGGTGGCTTGCTTCTGTCCTACCATGCTTTGCTTCTTATGCGTTTCAGACAGCGATGGGTTTGCTATTACTGTCTCTTCTTGCTCACATACTTGGCATGTTTATGAATGGAAAATCATTACATCTTCCAGAGAGTTTTGGGTCTGCATCTAAAGTGTGTTCTATATCTTGGTTGTTTTGAGTCTTCAATCTTAAGTGTGTTGCTTTTGTTTCTTGTTATGTTTCGATTCTTTCCAACTTCTCCTTATTCTTTTCCGTTTTTTTTTTTTTCCTTTTGTTCTTTTTTTTATTTTGTTTTCCAAACAAAATAAAATAAAATTTAAATACATAAAAGCCACACGGTGCGTTTTACTGTGGGTGTTTAAGTTGTGCAGATTAGGCCATCTTCCTCGCTCATATTCGATCTCTCTTCAGCCTCCATTGTCGTCATCCAAAGTTCTCAGCTTCTGCTACTCCGTGTCTTGCTCTGTCGCGTCACCATGGTCACCACACGGAGCCGTTGTCATTCTTCCTCCTCCGCTGCCACCAATCCCCATTCCTCTCGCTCCGTGCACCGCCGAACTGATGCTTCTCCTTCTTCGGGTGTCTCACCGGCTGAAATCCCATCACGGCCGTCCTCCTCCCGGTGCTCGAGCTCCAGCACTACGTCTCGCGCATTCCCTCATCCACCGGTCTTTCACTTCGTTTCTCAGGTGTGCTCTACCCGGTATATAGATGTGATTTGTCATAGTCCCATGTTAATTGAAGAGGACTTCGATCTCTCTAGCTTTGGCCCCACATTTGTTGATTTTCTTTCAGGGCATCGTCTCTTGCCATTAGTTTGTGGGTTGCCTATTCCAAATTTCCAGATTGTTCGGGAATTTTAGGCCAATTTCCTCGATGTCTCCGCTGCCTCTGTTGCTCTGTCTGGATTGGTTGTACGTGGAATTGCGATTCCCCTCAGTTTCCACTTTATTTCGGCTGCCCTTGGTTTGACTCATATTCGCTTTGGCAGTTCATGTGAGCCGGTTCCAGATTTTCTTCCGCGCCATCAGCTGGTGAATCGCCTCTATGTGTCTCCACCCGAGGTGCTCCCCACCGAGCTCTCATCTGGTATGATGTCTCAGTGGGCTCGTACTCTATATATGCTTGTGCGAAATTATCTGAATCCCACTTCCCAGCGTGGGAAAGTGAGTTGGAAAGCTGCTCATATTCTCTTCCATCTTGTGATTGAGCAATCTGTCAGTGTTGAGTGCTATGTTCATGAAAGCCTCATTATCGCTGGTGCTGCCAATGCCACCGTTTCGACATCCAGTCTTGTTCTTCCGTTGATTATCACCTCCTTGGCTGCTCATGCTGGTGTCCCTGCACTGCCGACAGATGATATTGGCTCATCCGACACCATCAAAGTCAACAACCAGGTCACTTTACACCGCAGCGATGCTCACTGTACTTCTGGTGGTTTCTCCATCGAGCAACAGGCTCTTTTGGATTCGCTCTCTGCATCCCATCAAGTGACACATGCACTCCTTTGTCGCATCTGGGATCGTCTTGACACCTATAGTGAGCTGTTACTATCACTTGCATGGCCCATTCAGCCTACTGATCCTCCTCGTCCTCCTCGGGCTAGCAGCATCTAAGGTTCATCTGTTCTGCTTCTGGATTATTCTATTTTGAAGTTATCTCTATATTCCTTTGGATTTCCTAAACAAAAAAGGGGAGAATATTTTGTGGTACTTATGAGATTTAGGGGGAGTAGATATTTTGTGTTACATATGAGATTTAGGGGGAGAAAATGTTTTCTGCCTATGGAATCAGAACTTGTGGTACTTTGCTTAACCTCCTTGACATATGAAATATTGTTGTTTAACTGTGCTAAGTTATGGTTATTATTATTTCAATTCTATTATGCTTCACTCGTAGTCTAGTTGTTGGTATGCAAACATTGCAAGAACTGAATATCTGTTTGACAAAGCAAAGTAGGATATGTAGGTTTTTTCTTGTAAACATGTTTGATATGTAATCCAGTGTTTTGTCCAGGAAATGCTAAAGGGGGAGATTGTTAGTACGAAAATCGTATTGGCATTTCCTATACTTTAGTATAGGTTGAAAATTAGTTTGTGAGGAATTGTTACTAGACATTTTGGATCTACTCTTTCAACCCCATACTTCCGAGGCATGCCCTAACCATATGAGAAACTTGACAACAGGTAAATCATGACATATCATGCATTTATGATAGGACTTATAGTTAAAGCTGTTTTAGAGTCTTCGTGATTGAAGTTAAAATACGAGCGGCTCCTAAGTGATGTGCACTTTGCTTATCTTCCAATTATCTTGCTTTAGGAGTCAATTGGTTCTGTATAAAAGTGGACGCTTTGTAACATCATTAAGAGTCCATAATGAATCAGACTTTGTATTTTCATTGAATCAGAAGTTATTGGATAATTGTTTGGCTCTTGTGTGGCGTCTCATTAAGGAGATCATATTGGATCAGGTTTAAGCAGTCGTAGTCGAATCGGTCCTAGTGTCATAGTTGCTTTGGAAGTGTAGTCTCGCAAGTTTCTCACCTGTGAGAGAAACTTGCTGGGAATAAAAGGATGTTTGTTTCTTTTCATAAATAGCTTTTCAACGCATTAATTTTAAGAGCATATTGAATCTGTTTTTGGAAAAGCTATTGCACTTATTTCTCTCGGTAAGTCATCAAGGGCTTCTGTTGCTTGGTAATTTATCGAATTCATTCATCCTTCATATTGCATACATATGCATGTCGTGTCTAATACGGTTAAGGGCACTAAGACGATTGTGGCGTTTATTCTCCGGTGAGCTTGAAGCAATCATGACCATGATTGCGTTCAACATAAGGAGTGACGAAGATCATCCCGTGACATAAGTTGAGTTACGAAGAAGTCGTAAACATTATCTAGATTGAGTCTAGGATAAGTGTGTGTGAGTACTTCTTGTAATCTCAATTCTATAGTGGATTCATTCTGAACTAATGAGTCCCGTGGATTTTCCCCAGATGTGGGGTTGTACCACGTAAAATAAATATCTGTGTGTTCTTTTATTTTAAGCTCTGCACATTTCAGGATTGATAACTCATATCAATCCTACTTCAAAAGTTGATTATTATTTATTGCAAAAAAATTCGAATTAGCCTGTATAACCTTCTCTAGGAATATGTAGACATCCTACAGGTATTTTCAGGAGGCATTTGTGGAAGAGAATTGGTACTAATTTGCTTTATAGTAGTGCCTCCCACCCTCAAACGGATGGGCAAACTGAGGTTGTGAATAGAACATTGGGCAATTTACTCAGGAGTTTGTCCGCAAAGAAGCCAAAACAATGGGATTCAATACTTCCTCAAGCAGAATTTGCCTACAACTCGAGTGTAAATCATTCTATAGGAAAGACTCCATTTGAGGTTGTCTATGGGAAAACTCCAGGCTACTATCTAGATCTTGTTCCCATTTCTAATCCTACAATAAACAGTAAGAAAGCAGAAGATTTAGTTGTTTCAAGGGCAAGAGTTCATGAGGATGTGAAGAAGAAACTCGAGGAAAGCAATGAGAAGTACAGAGAAGCTGCCAATGCTCATGGGCATGTGAAGGTATTTTGTGAAGGTGATCTTGTGTGGGTTTATTTGAAAAAAGAGAGTTTTCTATCTGGCGCTTATAATAAATTGAAGGAAAAGAAAATTGGTCCATGTCGAATTTTGGAGAAGATCAATTGACTATGCTTACAAAATCGAGTTGCCTTTAAATATCCGTACCCATCCTACTTTTAATGTGCAAGACTTTGTCTGAATATCTTGGCGAATTCAATTCCAACTCAGGGCAGTTTCTTCTTAAGGGGAGTATGATGCAGTGCACTAAGGGAGATGTTTAATGATTAATCTATTATTGGGTAATTGGGAAGTCAATAAGTCTTGGGTGGTGCAGGAGAATAAATTTAGATGCATTGGTTTCTAGTATGATACATGTATCTTAGTTAATACTAGCAAAAGGTGCCCGCGCGATGCTGCAGGTTTTAAAATTGCGTGAAATGTGTATAAAGCGATGAAAATAGACAAGGAACATCTCAACTACCCAATTGCCAAAACACTCAAAAGGATTTACCAACATGTTCAAATATTGTAATCATCTAAACCTATCATTACAACAACAAATTAACACCAACCAATTGTCAATTGATGCCATTAGCTAATTCCTATCCTCTATTCACAAAACTTAAAACAATTAATTGAAATTTCAGCCTAGAAACTCACCCCTTGCTTAACAGAATTGAAAACACCAACCAAACCGCTCTATCCAAAGCAACAAAAGACCACCTGCAAAATATCAAAAGAAAACATGGTTTTAAAAAAAAGAAGAAGAAAAAGGAAGAAAAAACAGAAAAATCGGAGAAGAAATTAGCTTGAGTATTTTATGCATGCACAATCTTTTCATTAAACCAAAAAATTAGCTTAAGTAAAATCTGTACATAAAGAAACCACAGGGAAAATGTATGCAATTGAGTTCCTTACGTCTCCAGCATTGAATATAAATCTTTGCTTGTCAAAGAATAGCAACACTGAAGGAGATGTATTCTGCGTATCCATTCCAGTCCCTAGCAGCTGCAAAGAGTAGAAGCATGGCCAAATTATTAGCCCATGAAAAGGAAAAAAAAAACAATAGAACCAAACTCTGCATTCTGAAATTAGGATATAAAAACTTTTTTAGTTTTCAATAAGTCTCCATTCAACGCAAAAATCAGCAAAAATCTGCTTGGTAAATCAAACCTACAAACAAAAAAATTATGAATTTTAACTTTTCTGAATTCTTTCTTGTCATCACTAATGTCCACAAACAGAATTCCAATTTAGAAGTCAGATTTTCAAAACCCACATATTTCCCAAACCAGTCTTCTTCAAGTCAACTATGCTGAAACATTGCAATCAGTTCCTAGAATCACATTCCCAAATTTTCTTTCCCCTACCAAAACAAAAATTATCAAATTCAAATCCCCAGTCCCATAATCCAGTATAAGAACGAATTTGAATTAAAACCTTGTAGTAAAAGAATGAACATATCTTTAAACAGAGCTACCCAAATAGCAGCGTATCCTGCTTACCAAAACAGAGCTATCCTAAACCAAAAGAACCAGCATATCCAAATACCGATTTCCGGGGTTTACCAACTAATTTTTAATAATAAACAGAAAACCTTACCAAAAGCAATCATATAGTATTTTAATAACTAAATTGTTTAACCTAATTTCATCAAAATAATAACAAAATCAAATCAATTTCAGTATTTGGATAAAATTTGCAAATCAATAACACAGACCCACTATGAGGAAAAATTAGGTATTTGGACTTTTAGGGCAGCTAATTAAAACAGGTCTTATAGTTTAATCAAATAAGATCCAAGATATTAGCAACAACAAAAATGAAAAAGAAGAGCAACAAAAATCGAATGGAAAGATTAAGCAAAATTTACTTACATTTAATGAGAGAAAGAGACTGAAACAGAGAGAGAGAAAGCTGGAGTTCGATCTGAAGAAGAAGAGCAACGCACTCCACTCCTATAAAGTCGAAGCCTCCAGATAATCTCCAACAGTAGACCGGCCTCTTCCATCATTGCCCCACAACCAGATGGACATCGAAGAACCTAAACAAAGAACAATGGAATGAAAGAGGAAGAAACGATGAGAACGATGAAGAAATTTCGGAACGAACGAAACCTTCGCAGCGGAGGAGAGAAAGGAAGAGAGGAGAGAGAGAGAGGGCTGCGTTGAAGGAGAAGAGGTTTTCCTTCTCTCACTCGACGCTACAACGAAGAAAATAAAACAGAGCTGGAGGGCATAACGGCCAATCCACTGTTCATAAGTCAACTCAAGGAAGCAGACCATCACTTAAGTGGGGGTAAAATCGTCACTTCACTATTCCTAAGCTACAGTCTAGGAACAGTGAATTCCTGAACTCAGTTTTAGTATATATATAATTTGAGTCCTTTCATTTGCTTCTTATTTAGCTTAAATACGAGTCCGTAGGCTATTGTGGAGATGATCAATTATTAAGAATTTCAATTGTAATGTCAAACAGGGCTATGCTCTTTCTCTTATCAAAGACTCCTTCTTTTTAAGCGTCTCGTGTAATTTCTAGCTATTTCGCATTAGCACTTTGTGTTTCATCAATCATATAAATAAAACTTCTGGCTATAAAGTGAATTTGATCTTGAACATTAGGTTCAAAAAGATCACATAAAAGTATTGATTTTAAGAAAAATATGTTCAAAACCAAATGATGAATCAAAGGTCTTTCAAGCTCAATTTGATAGCAATAACATAGACATGATAATTGAAGAACTTCGGGTTCCAATTAGATTGTGTGATATAGAACTACAGGTTCTAATCAAATATAAGAATAATAAAAACTAAGAACCAATGAACTTGAAAATTCCAATCTTTTGATTCCATTGTGGAAAACATGATAAAGATAAAAGAAAAAACAACATTTGATTCTGAACTTCAGGTTCAATTAACATTTTATATATGTTATTCCAGAACTACAGGTTCTTGACAGGATATGAACTACGGATTCATATTAATATTAATCTCAATAGACAATTATGAATTTTGGATATATATTAACATATATCTGAAACTTCAGGTTTGGGTGCCTATATCAAATGAAACAGAATACCTGGTTTTGAACTGTAGGTCCAAATTTGTAGTAATATGATATTGTTCAAGGTAATAAAATAAAACGATAATAATAAATAAAAATTAGAAAACATAAAATCCAAATAATGTCGAAACGATCAAGTTCTTAACATGATGTATATTTTTCAGCCCAAAATCATAATACATATGCACTTCTTGAATATCAATTTGGAGGTTGACACAATTGGAACTTCACATTCTTGAATTTATTTATTTTAATGCACATGTGGCCGAAACTTATAGTTTGGATTAGACATTGAACTTCAGGTCCTTCAATTTAAACTATTGAAATGAAAACAAATAACTGAATATAACAATAATAATTAAATAATAATTAAAAATAAAATATACTATTGGAACTTCTGGTTCCAGTTAAAGAAAAATCAAAGAACTCCAAGTCTATATATATATATATATATATATATATTATATGGATTGAGAACTAAGAGACTTTAGGTCTTTATTTAATTATATAATTTAGGGACTTCAGGTCCTTGCATAAAATAAAAATGAAACTAAAGGAAAGAAATAAGTAAAAATAAAATACAATAAAAATTAAAATATTGCAATAAAATAAATTGTTGAAACTTCTGGTTCCAATGAAAAATGAGTCAAAGGGCTTCCAGTCTTCATTTTCCTTATAAGAATTGGGGAACTTCAAGTGCACAAATATTTATATTATAATAAGGATTGGAATCTAAAGATCTTCTGGCCCTTATATGATTGAATAAGAACTGAGTAACTTCTTGTCCTCCATTAGTTATATAAGAATTGAAATTCTTTGAGTATCTCACTTTACCTCATAAAGATTGGTGATATGAAATATCACGTTGATATTGATCTTTACTCTTAATGAAAATCTTGAATTTCTAAGAGATAAAAAAATACAGTTGAAATCTTGTAAGTAGATAGAGAAGATAAATATCTAAAATATAAATGCTAATTTCTTTGTAAAATATCAAATTTGATATGCACTAGATATGTAAATAAAAATAAAATAACTTATCTGTTTGGAATCTTGTTGTTCATCTTCCTTTTGTTGATGCACTTCTTTCCTTTTGTCAAAGCCTATGTAACAAGAGTTCTAAACTTGCGATAGATAAGAGGAAACTATTTGACTCATAAATTACAAGTCCATAACTATGGTATTTAGTGTATAGGTTACATAGAATTAAAAATGGTGAATGCTAAGAGGTATGGTGGTCATCCACCAACTCATGCATTTACAACGTCACACAACTTTTCATTGTTATACACTATTTTCTATAGAACTGATCCTTTTGGTGGGCATGCTAGTCTCTAGCAATTCAAGCATAAACAAAATCTAGCTTCAACTAAAAAAAAAATATATATATATACAAACAAACAAAACAACTAAGCCATTTTCGCAGGGATCTCAATTGCATTTAGCGTATGCAACAAGTCTTTAAACCCCTAAGTTGCCCTAGTGGACGAGTATAGTCTCGTGAGGGTTTTCAGGGATGATACCCACAAACATCTGAAATTTTAAGTAACTCTCCTGCCAAATCATCATCAATAATGTCAAAGCTCAAAAACCAAGATTCTCAATTCATGAACAAATTTAAAAGAGTGAACACAATTCCAAAACTTTAAGTTCTTCCAGTCCAAAGTCAAGTCATTTCTCACCATTAATAAACTTTTCATTTGCTTTCGTTGGTGTAAATTGAAGTAACACAGTTGAGAAGACAAAAGTTCAATCTTCATCACACCATCCTTGCTATCTTAGATTTATTTATTTATTTATAAATAATAAATATATTCATGCTATTATGTGGACTGTGCAATGTTTAGCTCCTTTAAGTTTTCTAATTAACCCATATAACGAGTGTTAGGCCAATGACTCTCAAACACAAAGGCTTTAAGGCATTAGATGTTGAAACACTCCGATGAGCTTAATAACTCGAGTTAAAAAGGCTACAAAGCTGAACAAGTCACACATGCATTTTTTTTAAGAACTTCATGGTTTGACGCAAACACGCACTACTGATTAGGCAAGAGGCTCGGTTACTAAGTGAAAGTTCTCTTTTTATTCTGTTTTTTTTTTCAAGACAACAAAGATAAATACAATCACTCAAACTCTATCTTCTCAAGCGCATTAGTGCGAGTGTAAATTTATCAAAGCTTAGCTCATAAATTGTTCATTAAGTAGAAATAAATGAAAAGACTAAAGACTGGATTAGTTATCGTATTGCTGAAGTGTTTTCAATTTTAAATTCATGCATGAATATCAAATCTCAATTTAATGCAAGTATGTTTTGATGACAACAAGCGTGGATTTTTTTTTTTTTTTTTTTTGGGAAAACAAATTTGCAAACTAACAAATTGCCATAAATAATTCCACTTCCCCCCAACTTGAATGATACATTGTCCTCAATGTGTTATAAAAGAAAAATACGAGAGACATGTTGGAACGAAATTATAACGAGTGGGATAGAAGTCACCTAAATGCTGAAAAGTCTTTGAATAATTTTCTTCCTGAAAATAATTAGGTGTAGAAATGGATACCACAGGGGAAGTGTCAACTTCAGTGTTTGGCAAACACTTAGGGAACAATTTCAATTTTACTTTAGGAGCCTCATTTACACTTGACATCATAGGCTCATCATATAAAGGTGGAAGTTTGTCAATTTTGGGTTTCCAGCCAATCCCTTCATGTACCTATAAAGAATCAAATAATGAACCAATTTCAGTAATTTGTGAATTTATTGTTAAATCAGAACTAATAGAATTAATTTGAAATTTTTTTGAACAAGAAGCAACACTACTTTTCGCAAATTGATCATGCGATAAAGTTGAGATAGAATTCACAAATTCAGGTTCATCTTCCTCCCCAGATGACTGTTTATAAACATTAAAAACATTAACTTCCATAGTCATATTTCCAAAACAAATTTTCATGACTGCACTTCTGCAATTAATGTTAGCATCACAAGTAGCCAAGAAAGGACGTCCTAAAATCACAGGAATTTGATTATCAGAATTTGAAACATGTGCAGTGTCCAGAACAATAATCCCTCGTGGTGTCTGATGAGTCGATTTTATATTATATATTTAACCCTATTCTTAGTATATTTTGGTTAATATTTTGGAAGAATTTTGATACTTTGAATTATATTTTCAATATAGGACTTTCGACTCTCTCTGGAGCAAAACATAATCAAATGGACGAATTTTGGAGTAATTCCAGTTGGAGGACGTACGTGAGTCACTTAGCTTGATCGTATCAAAATATCAGACTTTTACACTAAGCGATGATTTCCTGGTGAATAAATGAAGGAGCGATGTGCAGTGCTGGAATAGTGACGTTTTGGGCTTATATTGCGTTTTTGGAGCCCAAGATGACCTCAGCTGGGTTCGTGGCCTTCTGGAGAAGTGTTCGGAATATTTTTATCTTTAAAACGAGCTATCTTGGGCCAGATTTGGAGGAGATTTGAGACCAAAACGTGGCTGGGCAGATTTGGGCAGATTCTCCTAATCCAATTTGGACTTTATTTCCTAGTCTTATTTTATTTTAACTTAGTTTCCTTGTGGGGATTGGGTAGCTAGGTTTTAGGAGGTATTTAAGCTTCTTTTCACAGCAATTTAGATCTCTTTTTAGAACTTCTTTTTGGCTTTTGGAGCAATTGCTAGGGTTTTGGATTTTCGCTACTTTGAGGTGTTTTCATTCTTACTCATTCGAATTATATTTTCTTGGATTTCAATTATGATTATGTGTAATTAATTCCTTTTGCTAGGGCGAGGCCGTCAGCCTTAGCATGAATATGTAGTTTTATTAATTTGCTTGTGAATGGATGCATGTTTGCTTTGAATTATTAATCACTGTGTTTAAAACTATCTATCTATTTTAATGATTGATCACCATTAGGATATGTAGACAAGTAATTTGATGCAATTTCTGTTGGAACATCACCCTGAAATTGAGGAGGGCTTCTTGTGATTAGTAATTGTAAGTTCACTTAAGGCGAACATCACGCTCTTAAGGGTTGCATGGTTTTTCAAAGGGTTTTCACAAAGCTTAATGAGTCTTGCATGTTTATATTTGATCTG